AAATGAGAACTGTATTTTTTTATTGGTTTCTAATTTCTTTTATGTTTTATGTTTGGAAAAAATTTGATAGACAATCATTGTACTATTCATTTTAATACTAGATTTTGTTGTAGTTTTTGTTTTGTGGTATTTCCCTTCCTAAGTTTTCTTTGTAAATTCTGTGTTCTTTATTCTATATTTTCTACGATGCCTAATATATTTATATAGTCGTCACTAAGAGAACAGATAAGTATGAAACTGGTTTTTATATATTATTCGATTATGCATAATGTATTATATATGGACAATGATACATGCACACAATGAACCAACACTCATCTCAACACCCATAGTGTTTTGAACAGTAAAATTACAAATTTATCCTCCTTATTTTCAACATGAGTGTTGAGATGGGTGTTAGCTTATTGTGTGCATGTATCATTATCCACTGTATATATTTTACAGTTAAAAAAAAAGAAAAAAAACACAATGTGTTTATATGCAAGTTGAGGTTCTAGTTTGTCCTAGCCTACAAGGAAAATCTATTAAGACTAGAATAGGATCTAAGATTAAAAAAATATACATATTAATTACAATATACAGTTGCTAGTAATTACTCGAGTATATTATATTCACAATAATGAAGATTAAGCTGTAAATTCAATTTCTTTAACAGTGTTTTGGATTGGGAAAATTAGAAGGGAAGGGAAGAAGAATGAGAGGAGATACCTCCTCGTATTTGAGTCACTTATTAATGGTGTGGAAAGGAGATGAGAGAGATGAAATCTCATCCACTCTTTTGTTTTTTATCCCTCTAAATCAAGAGAATTGCAATAAATTTGCTTTACATAATTAACTTTTTTAATTTTTTTAAACAAAAAATAAAATAATTTTATTTCAATTATTTTCAATTAATAAATTTTAAAAATTTTATTCTATTTTATTTTATTTTCTTTTAAATTATTTAATTAAATAAAAATATTATCCTTCCCTCTCCTCCTCTTTTATTTATTAAAAAAAATTAATATAAATCCTTTCCTTCTCTTCTCTTTCCTTTTCTTCCTCCCTTCTCCCTTCTCTTCCCTTTACTAATTTTGATCTAAAGAAATGCTAATAGTCACTGGCTACCATATTGAAATGTTATTTAGATTTGACAACTGCAAGAGTACAATATGTTTTGCCCTCTATAGAAGCACCATAAAGCCAACATGCACCAGGACGCAGGGTCATGAGTGATCCAAAATCTAGAACCAGGGAGGAATATTGAAAAATAATCCTCAGAGTTAGTAAATAAGTCCTGATTAATTGCTCATCAAGAACATTGTGGGAATGACAAAGACATATTTGTGGCATGAGTGCTGGCACCCTGATGGCATTCTATTGGATCCATAGGTACTAAGATTGTTGTTGTTGTTGAAGCTCAACCTTTTTAACCTAAGCTATCACAAGTAATTAAGGGGAATTTCTGGAGGTGGGTGCTGGTTAAGTTGCTAGAGCTTCTTAAATTTTGGAATTTGCCCTTTGTGGTGCATTATATCCAAACAACGAGCAATCAAATTACATTATTTGGTTAGCATCCTCTATTGATTCTTTAAAACAGTCACACTTGGAACCATTCTTGGAAAGACAGAGTAAAGTAAAAGGGAAATGATACATCCACCCAATGAACCAGCACCCATCTCAACACCTATGTGTAAAATGAGGAGAGTAAATTTGTAATTTTACTATTTAAAACAACATGAATGTTGAGATGAGTGCCGATTCATTAGGTGGATGTATCATTGTCCAAAGTAGAATTATCAAGGCTGCTATGGTTTTCAAATTCCATAGCCAAGCACAGTTTTATGGCTTGGCTTTCAATACTAGAAAGGCTCTCTACAAAAGAAAGAAGGGATGATCCCCTAAAGTACACACACTTGTTTATTATGTAACGTTGGTAATGAGTTCAGGGATAACTTCTTCTTTTTTTCCCATTTTTAAACTCTGGTTAGAAGGAGCAGGTGAGGAAGGGTTAAAGAGCAGAGGAATATCTCGAAAGAAAAGGGAAAGAAGAATGAAAGTTGTGGCAGGTAGCATGTCATTGTTGGTGCTGAATCATAATGTATTTATATAAAATATTTTAGATCTTATCGGCAACTGCTACAAAAATAAACCATTGAAAGACTAATTTGAAGGATTGGAATCTGGTGTAGAGTCTATTTGAGAAAAATGACGAATTTAGGGTCAGATGTGGAGAGTATTAAATTAGTAAAAGGACTAATCTACCATTCGTTTTTTTTTATTTTAATTTTGGGGAGATGGAGAGCGCATGGGAATGTCCGTTGTTTTCAGTCTTCACCATGTGAGGTGTTACATAAACAAAAGAAAAGCAAAAGGGTGCTTGTAGAGTTTTTTTTTCTTTTTATTTTTTTTAATTGCTTTATATTTTAGGTCTGGCAAGAAACTTGAGAAACAGTTGTTATAATATTGATTTTAATAGTATTTTTTAAAAAAATTTTGTCCGATGGTTTTTCCCTTTATATTAGAGGGTTTTCACGAAAATTTTGCATCTCCTTTATTTAATTTTTTGTGAAAAATTTTGTCCGATGGTTTTTCCCTTTATATTAGAGGGTTTTCACGAAAATTTTGCATCTCCTTTATTTAATTTTTTGTGGTGCCTAACATTTATTTAACCATCTTTGAGATCTCTGCTTTAATTTATTATTATTTGGCTTGAAGCTGTCTGAACTGGTCTAAATGGAAACATCAAAGTAGATTGCCCTTTCTACACATTAAATCCAATGCAGGATGAATTAGATTCTGTTCTTGGGCTTGGATCCTGCGAGTTCTTTTAAAGTAAGACACACTTGGAACCATTTATAGAGGTAGAATGGTCAATGCTGTCATGGTTTTCAAATTCCATACCCATAGTCCCCTCAATTGGATGACACTTGTTTACTTTGCAATGGTGATATGTACAGTCCGGAGATCACTTCCCTTGTCATTTTTTCCTTTTCTGTGGCTACACAAGCGGAGTTTGGCAAAGACATTTCTCACAAGGCACGTATGTATGCCGTGCTTTACTTTGTGGTCAAATTTATTGCCATGATTTTGCAGGAAACTGAAAGAGAATCAGTTTAAAAAACTTAAGTTAAGCATAATTGGGCTGTCTCAATTTATCATATTTGGCGAGAAAGAAACACAAGGCTTCATAAGAATTATTTCATATCAGATTTATGAAGAAGTCTTCATTCTCCATTGTTCAAATAAAAAAAAAAATGTTGTTCATTCTTGAGTTGTACTGACAATAATAAACTATTTCTTCTAGGCTGCCCGCATTTATGAAATTTATTATATTTTATAAAAACACTTTCTTATTCTTCAGATGCCCCCGCATGATGACATACTGCTTTAATTGTACATTTCAATTAACATTTTGTAAATGGCCGGCAATGACATCGACAAGAGAGAAAGGAATCCCGAGGCAGAGAAAAATATGACAGAGTTACACGGCAAGGCGGTAGTTCATTAATAAAATAAAAAACCCACAACATTGCACTAAATAATGGTAGTAATGAAGTTGATATAGCTAAAATGATATCTTGTAATATTCACGTAATATCATTTTTGTTGTCAACACTGCACTTCAAAGTTTAAAACAACCTTACGTGGCCCAATGAAAGGGGCAGTGTTGGCCGCAGAGTGCAGAAAGCGAGTGCCCTAGCACTGTTCTTCTTTTACTGCTTTCTTTTTTTCTTCAATTTTTAATGCTTTTTTTTTTTTCAATTGTAAACTTTCTTTTTAATGTTATAGTATTGATGACTTTACTGTAATACCCTTGCTCTCTTGTATCATTTTGCGTATATTCATTTCACTTCCATATAACCAATACCTTCCAAGAAATATCCAGCTAGCTAAATCGCTTTTATAAGTTTGCTCTTCTCCTTTGCCGGCTCACCTTTTCTTATTATCACGATACAATTTCGC